ACCTCCGTCTACGTTTCGCCGGTACTAAGTATAAAGTTGTAAGGATACAAGTATCAATACGCGAAAGACGCGGGGTAAAACCCGGGGGTGGCCCCCCATTTTTTACTACAACAGCAACTAGGCGTATTGTAAGCGGCAAAAATTGGCCAGAATTGAAACTTAGAGGCAAAATCGGATTTATGAATTTTGGGCAAACCATATAAAATACCAGCACCGGAAACCACATGTACAAAGCGTGAATGTAGTCTAAAATTAAGTCCTAACTCAAACTCATAAATTAGAGAAAAGTTCCTTCGAACAGTCAAGTTTTGGTAATGTTTATTGAAAGTATCTTCATTGTTCATTAGCGAGATGCGACAGTCATACAACGAATTTAGAAGGATCGGTTATAAGTTCAGTAAGGCTACTGTCGTACCGGCTTTGATCGACCAATACAACCCCCTTGCCTTCATCAGGTCTACAAATGATCAGGTCTCTATATTTGGCCAAATCTTTCAATAAAAGAGTGTCACGGGGTTTGAATACAGAGAAAAAATTTTATATGACTTGAATCCATAAAAATGACGGTAGGCTAAGCTTTGCAGCTCCCCGAGAAATTCAAGTCGGTTGGGGATTGAAACATTCTTTATGCTCAAAGCAAGTCTTTCAAAGGCTAAAAAAATTCGTTGAAACTACAGACCCAATTTCTAAAACAATTTTAAAAATTGAAGACAACATTAATAACTTCTTGCGAAAACTTAAAGATTCTTCTGCTTTTTCACCGGAAACTTATTCTAAAGTTTACACATCTGGTTCATGTCCTGGTATTTTATATGGTTTGCCCAAAATTCATAAATCCGATTTTGCCTCTAAGTTTCAATTCCGGCCAATTTTTGCCGCTTACAATACGCCTAGTTTTAAACTTGCTAAGTTTTTGGTATACATGTTTTGAACTGTCTCACGACTAATAAGTATACTGTAGACAATTCTTATACGTTTGTCTACCGCTTAAGGGGACCTGCTACCCAAAATCTTGAATTTTGGCGTTTTTGTGTTTTTGTGCTCATCTGAAAGCTGGAATTCTGCTCTTTCCAATGGCACCACTGCCATCGCTGTACGTCAGTATTTACGTTAATGACGTCTCTTTAAAGGGAAGCGGGTGTGAGAGTTCTTTAAGTAATTAGATATAAAGTAATTAGCTGCTGAAATCTTTGAATATAGTTTCTACTTGAGTTGTGCTGCAGTTACATGCTTAGTCTCATCTTAAAGCTGACATTCTGAGCTTTCCAACG